GTTTTTAATATTGATTATAATAATAATAATCATAATTCGGACTTTCATCTTTTGGTAGTTCTAAATTTTATTAAAGGCATGTCCTTCAATGGCAAAAGTCATCAGAGAAGGAAGATAAAAAATGAAGGGAGGCAATTTCATATGTTTTTAGAGTTAAATAAATGCCTACAACATCTTAAAAACAAACTAAAAATATGAAAGTGCTAGTGTTAATAATGAAAAACTAATTGGCGTAGAGATCGCACGTTTGGACAACGGCTACGACCACGTAGCTGTGGATTACATGGCGGTCTATCTGGGCCGTTGTCGGAACGTGTAGCCTCCACACCTAATTTATCGAATTCGCCGTTAATACTTACCCCTCATTATCAAAAATATCGACTTTGCAAATGCCTATTACTGTAGTTTCATCATCATAACCAATATGCCTGAATGAGTAGCATATTGGTTTGAAACAATAAGAAGATTTCCAAGATATCAGATTCGAGGGCTCATCCTGCCCAAGAAAGATAAATAAATAGATAAACATATTTAAAAATGAATAGAGATAAATATAAAAAGAGCTCCATAAAAGCAAAAAAAAAGGCAAAATGACACACATTTACACATGTTGCAATAGTATTTTTTTCATGTTCTTTCCCGGATCTGTCTTCCCTAACGTAGCCCATTAAGCTAACCGAACCAGGAATTGGAAGCACTCGCTGCCACATTGCAAACAAAACAAGCGAGTAGTTTGACAATAAGCATAGAACAGATTATAATAAATCACTACAAATTAGTAATAAACCTTTGCAGCCTCTATGGTAGCCTGAGCTGCGCCGGCAATACATTCAAAATTGCATTTTGCAGCCAACTCATCTGGCCTGAAAAACAGAACGAGATAACAGTGTAAGTTCTGTCTGTTGCCGTAGCTAATTTCTATATATATGTGTTTAAATATTAATTATTAGGACATATAGAAATCTAAATATATTTCTTACATTGCCAAATGTTGCTTCTCTGCAAAAATATCACCATTGAGCTGCTTGTATCTGAAACCACACAAAAGAAGCAAGAAAATCAATGCCAAACAGGTTATACATATATTCTGCAGAGGTTACAATTTTGAATATATTGCCGGCGCAGAAAGGCTTTACTTTTGGAAGAACTTATTGTCATCATCGAACGCAGAGATATCCAGATGGGGTTTCTCCGTTCCAAGAAGGTTGCCCTTTGACGCCATTTGTGTGAGAAGAAGAGGAGAGGAGGAGGGAACGATGGAGAGATGTGAATATGGTTGGTTGATGGGAGAGAGGAATTGGATTTGTATTTATAGCAATAAGGCCGTAGAGGCAGAGGTTGGGAACATTTTTCTCCCCGCGGAGCTCGCAAATAGCTTTGTTATTACTTATTAATCGAGCAACGTTCCGATAAAGATAAGCATCATGAGTCTTGGTCAGGAAAATATTTGCTAAGAAGTACAGGAGGTTATATCAGGGTTATACCCCTTTGTAACCCCCTGTAACCTCTTTGTAAACTACTTGTAACCTACAAATGAGTTTCACGCTTATGTAATTTTATGGGTACAAATAAGTTACACGGAGGTTACAAGGGAGTTATACGGAGGTCACAGGGGGGTATAACCCTGATATAACCCTCCTGTACCCCTGAATAACCCCTGACGTACGCATCGCTGCGTACGTCTTATGTACTTAAATATTTTCCCATTTATAGGTGTGTTAAATATTCAAGCATCACATCCTACACACCGGAGATTCAAACCCGTGACTTAAGGGGACTTACGACCTTCAAAGAGGTTGCTCTATCAACATGTCACGGTACGCACGCACGCACACTCACACACACACATATATATATGAAAATTTACGTGTTCGACACATAATTCTAACGTGTTTACACATCTCGTATCTAAACATTCATATTTATATAAATATCACTTTGATGTTTTAAACCTATGCAAAAAAATGTACATCTCATTTAAAAAAAATGATAATAGTTTCATTTTTTATGAGTTATTAAGGATTTGAAAATTTAAATGTGTAATGGTACAAATATAATAAAATTGCGTGCCATGTATGGAAGAAATGAAAACTAAGAAGCTAGAGATTTTTAATTTAAAATTAGTATATGAAAAACATTTTAATAATAACATTTCTTTTCAGTTGTACCTATTATATTATTTTTTTATAAAAGAATAAAATTTAGCAGTGAAAAGTACAAGAGTATTCATGGTGGTAGTGTTTAATTTACATCTTAGTGTTGCACGAGAACCTCACACATTAAGATAATATAAATGTGGGCAGAAACATATGTTTTTTTACACAGAAAAATCAAAAAAGAAAAAAAATCATGGGGATTGACCTAGTTGAAGAAATCCACTATAAATTGCTGATTGCAGATTTAACCTTGTCCCATAGGCAGGAAAGGAATATATAGTCTGCCAAGCCACAACGTTGATCAACGGATGAACTTGTCGCCCTACGATAGTGAGGAACACAATGGAGAGTAATAGTCAGTGCTTTAATGCACTGTCTTTAGAGTCGATGTCACATCCATGATGATGAGTTGCTTCGTAAATAATTTCGTACGGTGCTTCGTTGCAAGATGTTGGCGACATCATATGGTAATCGGCGATGACCGACAAGTGATGGTGACAACGGTTGGCAGTTGGCAGTTGCAATAGCAGGAGGCATTCACCAGATTGTCGGTGCAGAAGTGATGCTAGAAGTCACCTCATTCTCCAAGCCTTAGTCTTCTTCACATTTCAAGCTCAATGTTCCCTCTCAAGTGGGGGTAAGGCTCAATTTATAGAATCGCTGTTGCAATTCATAAAGGAATCCAAATCACTCTGATCAGAAGACCATAAGTGATACCTCGATCGACCAGTGTTTGATGGACATTGAAGTATCTTAACAATGTTGAATTGAGCGATATTGGGCTAGTTGGATTCTTCTTCCTGAGACAGTCAATTAGAATATAAGCTCGTCAGATTCGACATTTGTTTGATCTTTCAAATATGCCCATAAAACTTCCAAAAGTGGTATAATGACTTGATCTGAGCCTGATCTGATTTAGATAGATTTATTTTGGTATCGTTGGGTCCTTTTCGTCGAGCCCGTCAGTTTGATTGTAAGTTTGTTGAAATCATAGTTCTGGATACTTTTTAATTGAAGTTTGAAATGTTTCTTACTCAAAAGATCGCCTTGAGAACTGTTTCATGCTCGAGATTTATGTCGGATGATGGATTTGCTGATGAAGTATCAGCCCCCTATTTTCGGCTGAAGCCAACTTCGTAAAATCTGAAGTACTTTATTTTCATCAGTGTATTATTCATATAAATATATGTGTATATACTATATATTGATAATTTAATTTTTTTACATTATTTATTATTGTTATTTATTATTTTTTACATAGGGATTGTGTGGCATGAAAATGTCTGATAGCTTAAGGACATATAACTGGTTGAAAACCAATCGACCGGTCCTCCACTATTGTGATTACACACACAAGGAGAAATACTACGTCTTGGCCCAAAAAATTTTTTGTCATCAGCACCCTTATCCTCACCCATGTCCACCGATATACACACGCACACACACACACACACACATTTAGGTGTGTCTTGTGTATTTAGATATCTTGCACATAAACTTTCATATTTATATGCATAACACTTTGGTTTTTATATCTATGTATCAAAATGTATATTTCACTTTTAAAAAGTGATAATATTGTTAATATGTCATCAAAAAATTTCCATCATCCAGAATAAATCTTAAGGTATGACACAAATTTCGTGATAATTTTTTAATAAGAATTGCTCAAGCTTCAATTATAAATAATTCAGAACTTCAAATTTAACAAACTTATAATCAAACAGACTAGCTCGACGGGCAGACCCAATGATGATAAAATTGGTCCAAAAAGAGTCAAATAAGTTGTTAACAACTTTGGTAGTTTTCAATACATAATTTGAAGGTCAAAATGGATTCCAAATTCTGCAAGCTTATAATCAAATCAAACAACTTTACAAGAAAAATACAACGGGTTCAAGATCACTTAATTCTAACATTATTAAGGTACTTAAATGCCCGTAAAATACTATCCAATTGAGAGAACCCCTCAGACTATCTGATCGGAGTGGTTCAGATTCCTTCTTTATTTACAACCCGGGTTTTATAAATAGAGGCATACCCCCTCTTGATAGGGGTGCTAAACCTGAAGTGAGAAGAAGACCGAAGCTAAGAGGAGTGAAGCACAATATCGTTTCGACACTGAAGATTTGGTTAATTTTTCTTCTTTTGCAGCCGCCAATCACTATCAAATACCACCTGTCAGCCACCGTCTACCACCGTTAGTCGTCCTATACCACCGACTATCATCGATCGCCGCTTACTTCTTACTCTGGCAAAGTCACAATATGTATTGCAGAATTTCAATATATTTTTTGGAACAATGAAGCACCTGAAGGAGCATTACTTCATCGATTACAATAGGCAACGACACAACCCAAAGACGGTGTAACAAGACATCCCAAAAACGGTGTTGTGACACACCCTAATGATAATGTAACATTGCACCAGACATACAGTGCAACGACGCTTCCCGAAGGCAGTGTAATAATGCACCCCTACCACTGTGATTTTCTTTAAACTCTTAATGCTCTCTCATTGCAGCCCACCAACAATGGTTTATGTGGTACACAAATTATGCAGCTCCTGACCCTAACCTCTATGACCTATGAATGTCTTTACAACTCACCAGAACAACCCACGTAGCCAACTATAACCTACTTGGCTTACATCTCGTGCAACTTTTAACTCCAACTTATATGACTTACTGATGTCATGACAACTCTAACTATAGCTTATATGACCAACTATAACCTATGCAACCCATAGCTTATACATCCCCCAACTCTAGCCTACGCAATCTACTAATGTTATCGCAACTCATCACTATTATCCATGCGGCCAACTATGTCCTAGATGACCCACCGCTTTCATAGTTTCCCATTATGGCCTCTGTGACCAACTGATGCTCCAAAGGTAACCGTCAATGACCCACATGACCAACTACTACCATGACTTTTCACTACAGCCCATACGACAAGATATCACCATAGCCATTGTCTACAACATTCACAACGAACTATTGTCTCAATAACAATCGAATGAGACCCTTGTAGTCTGCTATCACATAGAACTACACTCATTACTTCTAGTTTAAAGTTATTATTAATGAAATGATGTTGTACATCTATAATGATCAATTTTGTAACTCCATCTTCCTAAATTAAGAAGAAGAAGAGTATACTAGTGTACTCAGCATTCATAGTATATCATTTCAATTGAGCTAGGTCTCAAGGGTGTTTTCTCCTTCTAGGTATTTTCACATAAAAACTGTGGTGTGACCTCTAGTTTACTTCTCCTTAATTACCTGAGTGTGTTTTGAATCTTTGTACAATGCAAGATGCTAAATAATCACTCCGACATCGATGAACTTCTGACACACATTAATTTGACGTCGTTTGTGGTAAGAAAAGTTTTGTTTGACATTATATTCAAGTTTGAGATGCTAAGCCTGTACTTGCTTTCTCAATGATATACATCATTCAACTAATGAAGGAACCTCCTTTGCACCTCTTAAAGATCATTTATGAAGTATTATTCAATGTGAGGGGAAACCTTTACTGTGGTTTTGAAAGGTCGTTCATGTTAACATCTCAGGCACGATTATACTAAGGTGCTCTTCCTGTAACCTGCTCAGACACATAGTTTATAATGAATTATTTTTGGGTGGGGGGTAACCTTCTCCATTTTCTAAAAAGGTTGTCACATTAACTTCCTAGACACAAATAAAGTGGGCTAGCCATCCCATGTTTTATTCAGACATTAAGTCTTTAAGACTTACTTCTAGGCTAGGGACAACTTGAAAAAGAATACGCCCGCAACAACCCTTAAGCATGCTAGAGTTCTTCAACTGAATCAGGAAAATGATCTCTTGAAAATTTGACATATGTGCTCCTTTATAAGAAAGTATGGAAAATGCCCATGTGGGAAAACAAATTTAAAAGCAACAACTAAAAAGTTGTTAAACATTATTCTTGAGTATGATTGATTGCAATCATATTTTCAAGAAAAAAGTACAATCCATTGTAACTTACACCCGTCTTGTGAAACTGAGAGCAACTTCGACACCTCATTATAGGCTTAATTAATCCCAGGAGGACTAAATTCGACCTATTCCATCACGTCATATGGTCTTCAAGTAGAAGCCTCGACTACCCAGATTGATAAAATATCCGTGATGAAATCCCTTTGACTTCTTCCATAATAGGT